GCAGAGTTCAGTGTGAGGTCACACGTGCCAATAGACTTCCGGGTAGCAAGATCCTCCCAAGTGCCATTTGGGTTAACCAAAGGCCAGCAGGGGGAAAGGGGGATGTGAGAAAGAGGGGGTTTGGGGTCATTGGGTAGGTGCACGGGGGCTGGACGAAGGGGTTAGTGTGGTATTCAGGAGGGTAAGGGCTACACGAATGGGACTTATGGGAAAGTGAGGCTGGGCGATATGTGGGCAGTGGAAGTGGGGGCACGAAGGAGATGGGGGGGTTTGGGTGGGGTATAAAGAGGCAGGCCCCTGGCGCGGTTGGGTGGGGGCTGGTGGTGTGCCCACAGGGATGCGCTCGTCAAGGATGACGCCAGCCTCCTTCCCTATCTCCGCACTCTCTGCCAGCTGCCCCCCCCCCAATCCCCCAGCGCCGGCTTTATACACCGTCTTCCTCCTCATTGTCTCTTACATCCTTTATATCTGTGCTTTAACTCCCCCGTTTCTTCCTCTCGCTACTGTCTCCTCTCCCAGCTTTTATGTGTGTGTGTGTGTGTGTGTGTGTGTGTGTATGTATATACACACACACACACCAATTTGTAATTGTATCTTAGTGGGGACTCTCCATTCATTTCTATTGGGAAAACTCTAATCCCAACATGACAACCTTAGCCCGTATCCAGCCCAACCCTTCACCATAAGTAACCGAACAGAATACGAGACTTTTGGCATTTTTACCTTTTTTGTTTGTATTCATAGATCTTTGTGGGGACCTGAAAAATCATCCCCAAAATGTCCAAAAACAGGTTTTTATCACATTATGGAGCATATTTGGTCCTCACAATGTGATTATAAACCTATTTATCTCTCTCTCTCTCTCTCTCTCTCTCTCTCTCTCTCTCACACACACACACAAACATCTAAATATAAATAAATAAATTTTCCCACATCTCTCTCAGTTCTGCCTGTTCAACTCGTGCTTAACCCCCCCCACCAAAGATCCCCTCCAAAGCTGTGACGATCGCCCTGGGCTGGATTGTCCAAAGAGCTAAAGAGCTGAAGAGCTGGGGGGCGGGGGGGTGGGAGTTTGTGTCAAAGGCCCCCGCCCCCCAGTCCCGGGCATCGCACCCCTTCCTGCTCTGCCGCTTGTATCCCCACCGCCTTCGCTGTGATTGGCCATCTCACACTGTTAATACCAATATGCATTTATGAATTAGAGTAAAGCTGTGCAGTGTAGCGGTTTCCTTGGGACATTGTGTTATGGAGGGATTTTTTTTCTGGGCGTCTGCCGCAGGCCCTGATGCATTCTGGGACTTTCCGGCCGCTCGTCGTCCTGTGGCGTTTCTGGAAGCCCAGGGGAACTCTGCTGTGGGGGGCATTATGTAAATGACTGTGATTTGAAAATTACACCGTGTGTGTGTGTGTGTGTGTGTATGTATGTATGTGTGTGAAAATACTCAAATACTCAAATCAACTCACTGCTCGCAAAATCTACCGGGCGCTAAATTCAAACGGGAGCCCAAGGTGACATTTTGTCAGGGGACTCAAAATTTCTAGCTACACCTTTGTGGGTGTGTGTGTGCGTGTGTGTGTGTGTGTGTGTGTGTGCAGACTTCTGTTTGGAAGCCTGTCTACGTGCTTGGTTTACTGTGTGGGTGTTTGAGCATCTGTGTGTGAGGCGGAGAGATGAAGGGAATTTTTATCTGCTAGCCTCTGTGTGTTTCAGTGTGTGTGTTTCAGTGTCTTTGGGAGTCTGTGCTTTGAATGCGCAGAACCCCTAGACTTGACTCCTCATCAGTAACCTCATGATGCACTCGTAAGGCCTCCTACACATACTTTTCCCAGAAGCGCGCCCTCCTTCCAGGCAGCGTCCATCCCTGTTGCTGCTTTTATTAGTGTTTGAAGCAGCAGCCCTGCCTGCCGTGTGACCGTGCGAGTTACAAATGTGGTTTCCGTCTTGCAGAAATCTTCAGCGTTGTTGTCGGTGCTGTCAGGGTCCAGCTCTGTCACTCAGCCTTGACCATCTGGCTGTCTAATGTGTATCCGTGTCACCTCGCTGTTTACAGGGTCGTCTGCTGTATGACTCTGTGTGTGGGTGTGTGTGTGTGTGTGTGTGTGTGTGTGTGTTCCTCTGTGTTCAGGTTTCCTGGCTTTTGTTAGATGCTCCCCGGTGACATTATGGTCTCCCAGCAGCATTCCGGATTCATCAAGGAGACGAATCAAGTCAATCCTGGTCTGACAGTGAGGATGGAGATCAGACGAGATGAGGTGTTCTATCTTAACAGACGTCTAAGGAAATCGTCTGCATGCATTTGCGCGGAGATGAAGTCATTTGCAGGCAATGTGTCCATGAACATATTAACATGGGGAAAAAATGACTTTTAAAAAACTTCCCCTTAGCAGAACTTTCTATCATTAATGGACTTTTCTTACTTGCGACGGTCAGAGCTGAAGCACAGTGAGTACCTCAGAGTGTGTGTGTGTGTCGCTGTATATCTCTGCCTGTGAGACATGAACAACAGAGTAGTAGAAGAAAAGAGGGGAAGGAGGGGGGGGGAGGCCAGGGGCGCCTGGACGAATGACGATTAGGACCCCCTTTGGTATAAGCTGCAGGCTCCGCCCCCAATCTGCCTGCTCCCAGATCAATGGTGGACATCAGTCATTAATGCTAAGTAGCCCGAGTTTGTTCACATCCGGACAAGGATGACAGCCGCTAATTACAACTTCCAACAGCTGAAATTATCCTCTGCTGCCAGAATGCAGACCTGGACCTTGCCGGAACGTGGCTGTGTCACTGGGGTTCATCACTGAGCGGTTCCACGAGTCAGTAGAGGGAGGGGCTCATTTACTCATTTTTCTGACTATTTAGCTTTTATCCAAAGTCATTTACAGTAGAGGTGCGTGCTCCCTGGGATTTGAACCCACAACATTTGCATTGATGGCACAGTGCTCTACTTGTTGAATTACAGGAGCTCAAAATGAGGACAGGTTCAATTCTTGGAGCGATTCGACTTAAGGGCCTTTAACGATGGATGAGTCATTCTGCTGACCTGGGGATCAGAACCAATGACCTTCTGATCACACAAAGACCTCTTATGTGATATTCGCCCATTCAAGCCCAGTCCGTTAGCATGCCCCCTGATGGCTTACAGTGGTTCTGAGGCCTGGTTGCAGATTGAGTGGTTTGCATTGAGTGTTGAACCTGAGACTCTGAATGGGTCACTTCTAAAGATGCTGTTGTCACAAATCAATATCGGATGCCTTCGGATACGGGGGGGACTGAGTTTAAGGAATGTTTCAGCAGGTGATCCCTGCATGGGTTTGTGAGCGTCTCCGCATGCTTTTGTGCTTGTGTGCATCTGCTGGAACCTGAAGGTGCTTTTCTGAAGGTAGTTGTTTGGGTGCCTTGGTTACTTATGGGTTTATGTGAGGCAGAGACCGTAGGTGACACATGGAGAAAAGAAAAGCAACAAAATAACAGCCTGCGATGCTCCCCGACCGCTAATGGGGAAGCAACGGCATGCACTGAGTCACCCGGATCAATAGCTGTCAGGACCCCCGCAGAGCGCCAGCCTGTCATTGCCAGTGACACGGGGCCGTCTGAGGATCCTGCCTGATTGAAACGTGACATTTAGTGTCACAGATCTTGTCCTCCCTAGCTGTCTCTACATGACACCCTCGATGAATATTTGTAAACAAAATTCATAAATTACACTCCCGGAGAACTTCTCACAAAAATCCACATAGACAGTTTCTACGTAATAAATCTCTACAAGAAACATTTCTGTGTCACGTGGTTCTGATCATGTGACCCTGTCTATCCATTACTTATTTCTCCATGTTACATCCTTTTATTGCAAAAACAGGGTATACAGCATGCATTATATGTCTGCATGAGAGCAGTATGCATGCATTCAAACACACCGGCGTGACCTTTTTGCATACTACCAGACCCAGATGTTTACCAATGATGTACCTTGACCCCCGCAAAAGTCAAAAACTGTTAAAAACTCTCAATGACAAAAATACGTATTTGACTCAATTTATGTAATTGGCTATTGTTTTTTACTTAACGCTCCAGTGGCCTTGTGGGATAGCGTCCGCTGGTTGCAGACTTCAGAATTTCGCAGAATGTAGTAGTATGTCATCTGGGTACCATTCACATACTGTTTTGCATACTATATTTCACCTACTACATAGCAAACAAGTATGTGGTTTCGGACACACCCAAATTCTCTTCAAAGGACACTGAAAGTCTCCAGTCACCAGTGTATAAACCTGCGCCATGCTGACCCTCTGCAGACAATGCTTAACCATGTTGAGGTGGCCGGTTCTGTGGGTCTGGAGAAAAGGCATGATTTTGAATGAGCCAACCTGATCGATAGCTGCCAAGCCTTTCTGATTGACAAACTGTCAACTGGCTCAACGAGGGACAGGTTAAGCTACCCAGCAGGACCAAGTGAAAGGATTGTATGGGTGGAAAGAGACTGATAAAACACTCGCAATGCTACACCAGTCCTTTCAGTTGCTTTGAATCCTTTACACCATGAGCAAATGCTCTTGAACTTAAGAAACAAGTGGCCTTGTGTCTACAAAGGCAGAATGCAGGTTTCAGGCAGCTGAAAAGTAAGAGCTTTAACAAGTCACCAAGGTTACAAGGTCACTTAGATAATTCTGATTACGGGATGAAAATTGGCTGGACTTTATGAAGAGAAACTAGAGAACAGGAGTTACGATAGAGCTAATCTCGTTTACTTGTCTTTAGCTTTGTTGTCGTTGTTTCAAGCATATCATGTTATATTAACCGCTTGCCCCCTTGTGCTCACGTGCTCCAGCATTCATCGAACACGTCCAGGCTGTTTTTGCCTGCCTGTGCTGAGAGAATGTGGGCTTATTAAATCATCAGGTCCATCTGCTTCTATGGAAGGATGGTGATGCGTCCTGCTTCATCTTTGCTTCACTTTTTAATGAGGCTGATGCAATAATGACTTTCTCTTTCTCATTCCTCATTGCAGGATAGATCTCTTCACCTGGGAAACTCATTCGGTCCTACGTCTAGACAAAAGACCAGAGGGAAGGTGTGGTTTGGCTTTTAGCTCTGCGAGTGGAACAGTATGGCATTGTGGGAGAAAGATACCAAAAGGACGACTAGGAGGGAGGGATGAAGGAAACAAGAGAAGCATTCTTCGTGCCAGAGTTTTATTCTTGTAGTGTCTTATAGCGCCCTCCCCTGTCATGTCTGCCAAAATCTATCTATTCCTGGCCACCCTCTGCATGTGGGAGGGACTTGTGGGAGGGGCCTCTCTCACTACGGTTCTGAAGAGAAGGGGTCTAGGGGCCCATGGACCAATGACAGTCGAGAAGACACCTGCCCACCAATGGGAACCAAGCTTTAAGAACGATGTCCTTCTGCCAGTGGAGGTCAATGACTCGATTGATCATACATCACATGCAGAATCAAGTGGCTCCAAAGAAGCAGCCCGAAACAGTTCAGCGTCTGTGTCGGCCGGCACAGGAAGCCGTCGTGATCTGAATTTAACAGTTCCCGTGCCACTTGGGAAAAGCCAGATTTCCCTGGATTCAAGAAAGGCCAGAAACGCCTCTAAGAGTGTCGACTCCTTCAGGTCAGCTTGGTTCGATTATAAGGCTTACGCTCTCCACCGTAAACTAGACCACACGTCTCCCTACAATAAAACCAGATTCAAATCCCTCTTCAAATCCATCGTAAGCTCAGACCCAGCTGTCTTTACGTTAGAGGCTCAAGAAAGGAGGCTTCATGTGGATCATAACAGGAGATTAAACCTGACCGAGAAACCGGCAATTAAGCCACATCCAAATCGAGAGGTAATTGCACCACCACAGAGAGAGGTGGGGCAGGAGCAGGGCGCCAGGGATAAAACAGGCTGGGACGTGAACAGGAAGCAGCATCCGAATCAGAACAATGGGCAAAAGTCAGCTATTGGGGAGCCACAGGAGCCCAGAAGGATGAGGGTAGCAGATGTGGATGTTCCCGATGTGGGCAATGAAAACACTTTGATGGATTTGAGCCAGAATAAGAGGCCGCATAAGAATGTTCACACTAACAGCAGTACAGGAAGCAGCATTACTCAGGAGAGCCAGAACCCAGATCTTTTCGTGAGCAGAGAGAGTTTAGGGTCTGCCATTGGATCTCCATCACCTGTGCCCCGTGAAGTGAGCACAAGTGACAGAAAGGCGACGGAAGATAGGACGACTTTGGTTCCCCAAAACAAGCCGGGAGATGAGACAGATTCTAGAATGGGAGCAGTTCTGGAGAAAGAACATCTGGTCGAGCAGAGCCGACCAGCTGTGAATCCTCCGGAATCCTCCAGGGACAGCCTAGATCCCAGGAGCAGCGACATGCACGACGATAGCAGCCACCTGCTGAGACTGCAGCCCGACATGGTTCCTGACGTGGGACCCGACGGAGGTCCCCGCCATGACATGGGACAACATGCCTCTCCAGATTCCCCTCTCGGGGGCCGGGGTCTGCTTTTCCAGGAGGCTGAAGATGGTCGAGGGCAGGGAAGCGAGGGAACCCGCTCGCGTAGCAGGCGGAGTTGGATTTGGAACCAGTTTTTCGTCATCGAGGAGTACACTGGCCCAGAACCGGTACTGATCGGGAGGGTGAGTGACCCGTAGGCATGAGCGACCAGAACGCGATTATATGCACATCTAATGGAGATACGAAATCCTCAATAAAGTATGAAGTCTTCATATTCATGCTCTTTCAAAGTCATCCACTGGGAAACACTTATTTTTTTTGTTCGACAGTCTCTTAATTATTGGTCTCTAGGCCCTTGCCAATTAACGATATAGATATTGAAACCGCAAGTCCCACTCTGCGTGTTAGGCTACCATATTGTTTTGGCTCATTCAAGGCATACTAAACGAAAAATACAAATTTGTATTTGCCTTCATTACTGTGAATCAGTCATTTAGCTACCTAATTGTTTTGGGATTAAGTGAGGTTTAAGTAATCAGAGTTGTAGAATGCTGAATTAATCACAATTTGTGCGTATTATTATAAAGGCCTGGAGAAAAATGCTTATTTCTATTTTTGTGTAGGGTTCCTGAGAGTGTAGACGTTCCTCCAAAACAGAATTGATGAGGGGCTCGTGCGAATTAAAAGGGATGCAGAGGCGGTGAAGTGCAGAATTCCGAGAGCAAAGTCGTCCTTTGGAGTCTGACGTGACGGGAAACAGCGGAATTTAAACGCAGTTAATCCGCACGCTGTCACAACGTCGTCGCGTGACGCGAGTGTGCCTGGGGGGGGCTCCGTCGCATCTGCTGCGATGTGGGTGTTTGTTTTCTTTTTATCTCGAATCGCAGGGCAGTGCCTTAGGAACGAAAGCCGATTGATGTGTGTCAGATGGAGCGAATGGGGATGTTAATGTCGGGCTCTTCAGGAGTCGGGGCAGGTGCGGATATATCTGGGTGATCAGATGAAACATCTCAGGGTATATTGGCTGGTGCTCAGAACCAGGGCACAGGATATCGCTGTGCATATCAAATTATCACCTTCTGGAACATGCTGGATCTTTCTGCCCCCAGCGCCCCCCCCCACCCCGCTCCCCTCACCTGACATCGTGCCCTGGCACTTGTCCGAGTGCTGAATACATCCTCGTAAATGTTTCATCTGCTACCTGGACCATGGAGAATCGGGTCGCCGCGGAGACGGGCGTATTGCCGTGGAGACGGTGAGGTCAGGGCAGCTCGGATTGGCCGGAGCCCCGGTCATATGAGCGAAGGGACACGCCCGTTTCTGCAGAGCAGCTGCCAGACAGGCAGAGCTGACCATCAGGGAGCTCTTAGCAGTGTATCGACTCAATACGTCAGGCCAGTCTGAGGCCCATCTATTCCTTCCGAAGCCTCTCTCCTCGTACCCAGAGAGTCAGTAACTTTTAAGCAAATGCTTTACTTTTCTTTAAAAAAACACCTCAGTAGTCTGATGAACTGATGCAGCATCTGCTTTGTCTTCGGCAGCATTTCTCAGCTGTCAGCGGAGGAATTCATGGTTCGCTGATATTTACTAATCTGGAGTACAAGTGAGGTCCTCCTGGTGCATGTTGTGTCTTATGCGGCACCTCCGAGGTAATTCCCTCAAAGCTTATCCAAACCTAGATGTTAATCTCCCGGAAAAAAAAGGATTTCATTAGACCTTCAAAGCAGGCAGACTGTTACTCATTAGTGTGGACCTGCTTCTTGGGCTTATCGGCAGCTCTGCTTAAGTAGGCCCAATCCCTGGCCGGAATATGAATATTTATGGGCCAGACCGGGCCTCTGATGCCGCTCCCGATCCGAATGATTAGCGGTTACAAATATTCTGAAACAATCCTGATTATATTCAGCCCCAAAACAAGTGGCGATCTTGCAAGTGCTAAATATTCATCAGCACCTGTCTCTGCCGTAACTCTCGGCCTCGCATTACGGAGGGATGTGTCCACGTGATGAAAACTCACGTGCCCTGTTGTCCTTCGTGAAGGACCTTTTTGGTACAGCGTCACAGAGATCTTCCAATATGGCCACCCAGGCAGTTAACATTCTGTGTTTTGACAGCCCAGAGGTAGGGGCTGCTTTTAATACAATTTGTCAGGTGCCGTTGCTGCATTTTATTTAATTTATTTTTTTATAGACCTGTTAGGATGTCCGAATGAAGACAACGCGAGCTAGCCGCTGACCGTAGCTAATGTTCGGGTGATAACCTGAGCATTTCCGTGGTGTCTTTGCTGTTACCGTGGCGCCCGGCGACAGGCCCTGAATTCCAATGCGGTGGAGACACAGGCTCTAAAGTGCATAAACACACTGGCACACGAGGGACCCCAAATGTTCGATGGGACAATGATTTAAATTGGCTTCCTTACCATTAACTGGTTGCAAAATTGAATAAGGCGGAATAGCCACATAGGTGAGTTACGCATTTGTGCTAACATTTAAATGTAGTACTAAGTCCTGATTAACTCATTAGGTAGCAGGTGACAGGCAGCCACCTAGGGTGCCATCTGCTTTGGGGATACCGACTTAGCCAGCCAGTTTCACGTTATCTCAGATAGGGGGCGCCGGCGGTGAAGTTTGCCTAGGGCGCCACATGGTCTTTGATTGGAAGATAGTGGTGGTAGGCAGGAAAAAACCAAGAAATCATTGAAAAGGGAAGTGGGGGGGAAGGATGCAGGTATGAGGAGGTGAATAAGGAGAAATGGCAGGAAAAAATGAAAGATAAGTGAGGAGAGAAACAAAGGAATGATGAGAAACCCGCAAAGGAAGATAAAGGAGATGGAGATGCCAATAACCGGGGTGGGGGTGGGGGGGGGCACCAGCTGGAAATGTCCTTTGTAATCATCTCGAAATGTTTACTTTTTACCCCACTCGCTCCGTTTTTTCTTATTTTGTTCTTACGTCTATGGATTTTATCTTCACAGCGAAGAGCATTTAGGCTGGAGGCGGCTGCACGGCAGGAACGAGGACGCAATTAAAAGGGGAGGCGGGGGGAGAGCGGGGCGTGGAGGAATGAGAGAGAGGTGGGGGCGGGAGGGTGTGTGGTACAACTGCCCCCGTGCGCCGGGAGGAGGTGCAGGTCTTGGCCCTGGAAGGGCAGAGTTCGTCAGTGGGTGAATCGGTAGGGTGGTGTCGAGTTTGTATTTATATCCCGGAGAGGTGAAGGGCTGGGAAACGTGTGGGGATCCGGTGGATAGTCAGACTGATGCTCTATCTGCATGTCTGGGGAGACGGGAGTGAACGAGGGAGCAGGAGAGGAGGAGGGAGGAAGAGAGACATGGAGGGGTGAAGGGGATGGCAAGCCGTTAAATACTGTTTTATTACTAACCTCCCCCGCCCACTCCCACACATGCACCTACAGTACATTCCCCGGCAACAGAGGAGGGGGAGGGGGAGGCTCTGCCACTCTGTGGTGCCGAAATTTATGTGTGGGACACAGAGAGGGAGAAGTGAGGAGGAGAAGGTGAGCCGGAGGGGACATTGAGGGCCCTAAGGATATGGCCCAGGGGGCCTGGTGTCTGGCGTGTGCAGACCTGCTGGCCCATCAGTGCTGTCCCCCCAAGCTTCGGCACATGGGGCGACCGAGCCAGGGCCAAAAAGACCAGCGGTTACCATGACGGGATGGGTAGTATTACTGAGGGTTTACTCTGCATAGCCGCAGGAAGTGGCGGGGGGGTGGTCAGGGCAGGGGAGGACAGGTGCAGAGACACTGAAGCCCAGTGGTGCCACGTGTGGCATTAACGTGCCGTGAAAGGCGCGGGACCTCGACGCATAGTATTAACGTGTGGCATTAACGTGCCGTGTAAGGCGCGGGACCTCGACGCATAGTATTAACGTGTGGCATTAACGTGCCGTGTAAGGCGCGGGACCTCGACGCATAGTATTAACGTGTGGCATTGACGTGCCGTGTAAGGCGCGGGACCTCGACGCATAGTATTAACGTGTGGCATTAACGTGCCGTGTAAGGCGCGCGACCTCGACGCATAGTATTAACGTGTGGCATCAACACTCTACCAACCTGCGGTATTAAAATGCGATATCAACATGGGGTATTAATATGCAGTATAAGTACGGGCAATTAACATAAAGCATCAATGCACAGTATTAACATGCGGTATTAACCCTCCGTGTACCTGTCTGTCATGCTGAATTAACCCCTTCTCTGCCAGTACGTCCTGCTCTTACCCCGGCCCTTCTGATATCTGTGTGGGGAATGTTTTCTATGTTATGAGAGTTGTCCTGAAATTTAATTGTTGAATTGGTGTTGCCCTATCTCCCCATTCTGGGGTAACAGTGTTTTCATTCTCTTTTTTTTTATCACGTTTGTTTTCCCGAGTAAATCGTAATTATGCTCGTGTCTCTCTCTCTCGCCTCTGTTTCCCGTCTCCATTCCTCTAATCAGTTCAATTCATTTAGCGTTACTGGCGCGGGAAACAAACACGCGTGCTGCCAGCGCTGACAGACACATGACGTCCGAAACAAAAGCCAAATTTCAATTTCAAGCCAGTTTGCTGGCAGGGTTTAAGGCCAAGGTGGTGCCGCGGCCACCGTCAACGAGCCTGAGATAAACATGCGGGACAAACACCACAGACCAGATAGTCTGGCTAAATACTGCTGCTATCTCGCCCCTTTTCAATCCATTCTCATCTATTTTTACAGCTGGCAGTAGTCATGCTATGGAAAATTCTAGAAAAAAAAAAGTCCAGTAGAAACCATGAAGAGGACGCACGGTCACCTTGTGCCTCGTCATACTGGGTTGTGGGCGTGTCCCTTCGAGGCCCCCTGGGAAGCCACACCCACAGGCTGCTATTTAAACAGTCTGTCTGCTGTTCAAGGAAATTAATAGCCTGCAGTAATGAAAGAGAAGGCGGTTATATATATATATAGAAAGAGATATAGAAAGAGACAGAGTGATGTCTTCTTTTCGGCAGTCTCCGAATTTTAAGGGAAAGTTTCACGGTATATATATTTAATCCCTTGTGAGTATATTTCACGCCGGCGCTTTCCGCTGTGTCAGGCTTGCAGGGCTCCTAATTCACTCCGCTTTCCGGTGGCAGGGCACGAGAGCACAGGCCTCCAGGAGTCTCTGGACAGCTTGCAGTTCTGCCGTCTGAATTATGTTCCTGTCCTGAGTCGCTTCGGCGCAATATATCTGCTGTGCCACTCAGGGCCAGAAGGGGGTGTAGCGGTTAAGAATATGGGCTTGAAACCTGAAACTCACTGGTCCCACAATAGGTCATGCTGTGGTACTGACCCTGCATAGGTTATTACATGTGTATTACATAGCTAACGCTTGGGCTCAAAGTGACTTTTTGTTTTATAGATAAACAGCTTTGAAAGAGGGAGAAGGGAAGTTTGGGATACGACGTGGCTGCTACACACAGCACCACACGCCTGGGGCTCAGGGCCCCTCCTGCCACTATCACTTAGGCGGTTGCCGGCGGGAGCGGCACATAGGGGGAGGATAGATGGCCGCTCAGTCCCAGCCCACACCACGGGCAGGGCGGCCCACTCTCCTTTACCGGCTTGCTGATGACGAGCTCCGTTTTATATTTCAGTTTTGGCTAATTGCTCTCTACTTGAGCACCTGCTGCTTGCACCTCGGGCCATCTTTGAATCCTGGCACCGGTGATCTAAGGTTCATCGGCGATCGTCTGAGCAGGCCTGGTTGTAGGCTCCGTGATCGACTGGCTGAGGCTGCCGCTTCGACCGTATGATTAGTCTGATGTTAAATTCGGCGATTAGCTTCTCTTACCTTAGCTTCTCTTACCTATTCTGATGTGCAACCGTGATATGTCGTGTGATTGTTCAAACGTGATTGTGATCTGTGATCGCCTTGGCAGACCAGGACGTAAACTCGGGGATCGGCCCCGCAGGCCTGGTTGCAGACTCTGTAATTAGCTTGGCAGGCCTAAAATAATTGAGTATGGTGAGAACACACGCAGTTTTTGTTTATTTAACCGCGGTGCTCTGGCTGCCTCGCACCCCTCAGGCTGTGGTGCTCTGTGAAGTATTGAGCTGTCAGTAGTGTGCAGGCCCAGCACGTTACCGCGCAGACAAAGTCATTCGTCACTCAGTGGCATGTTTTTGAAACGTGGGTAAATTCGGGTTATCTCGTGGACGTACTCTTTCCCAGTGTCCTCATCTGTTTTTTTTTTCTTTTTCTGCTCCCGGTTATGGCCAGGAACCAAAAGGAGATCGAATAAAGTAAAAGAAAGTCGCGGAGACTCTGCGGACGTGGAGAACGGGAGGCCTTTTATTGATCCCGTGGAGTGGCTGGTTAACGTCCGTCATTTATAAGTGGGCTTTGAGAGGTGGTGGGCGTGAAAAGCTAGAGTAAGACCCACCAGCATGAAGTAAGTCCAGGCGCAGTCCATATCATCCCCACGGAGTCTAGATTAAACGCAGAGGGTGTCCGCACGGCTGGATAAAGGGCAGTGCTGGGCTGTTTTCCCCCACTTATATCAGCACTGATAAATTGTGCTCCTCTGTTCTTCTCATTTACTTTAAACGCTTCCGACAAGCTGCTCGCTGGGCCCGCAAGCCGCTAAGTTCCCAGTCAATATCAGGCACAGTCTGGAGGCTCGTTCATTCGCCATCATGCCACGGCCGTCCCTGCCCTCTCAGATCCCGCTCCCTCTGAGTAATTTTCTGTCTCCTCTTTCCCGTGTGTGTTTCAGGGAATCATTCCCTCCATATTGGCAAACCGTGTGCG